TGGATTTTGCAGAATCCAATTTAGAGTGAGTTCTTCATTTGAGGACAAATCAACCTGTGCAGGTGTAGGGGGTCCTTCTTTTCGCTTCACAAGTTTTGGTATTGTTTTAGTTTCTAAGAACTCTTGTGCTTGTGGTTTGATATATTCTAGCCACCCTTCCACAATATTAACCTGTTTAAAGAAGAAGAAAAAAAGAGAAAAAGAAATGGTAATCAGTGCATTGCATATTATAGTTTTGGTCTTTAATTAAGCAGTACGTATAATACAGAAACTGCATTGCAGTTTCTGTTTGTGTTTGTGCTGAGAAATTAAGACAGTTTCATTCCACTTACAAAATTTTGAGCAATGTCAATACACTTTTCTTCTTTTCTAGATCCCAACGATCTAAGTGGATTGTAGTGTCTCCACTTTCGTTCCATTTTGTGAAATGTGAGAAGTGTAAAGTGGAACTCAGAACTTGAAATGATCGGGAAGAAGAGAACATTGCATTTCCCGAGTTTTTCAAGTAAGTGTTCATACAGGGCCCTATGCCAATTTGGTTCTAGAAAGGTTTGCATGTAAGCCTGCCATCATTGAATGGCAATTTGTTAGTATATATTTTTCGAAAACTGCAGTGCCGTGTCTGTTTAAACAACTTTGAATTTTCAAAATAATTCTTACCCAAGTCCATGTAGACATGTACTGTGGACTATCTGTCTGCATGGGCCCTATTTTCTCCTCCTCTATTTGGATATAGGCCTCAATAACCTGTTTCACATTGATTGGAGAAAAATGGAATTATTAACGGGTAATATAGGTAGCACAAATAAAAAATGCAGTGCAGTGTGTGTTATAGAATTAGTATTTTATACTTACGTTTTGTGACAGTTCCAGGTCCCATACAATATCTTTGATATCATGATTTGTCACTTTCTTATTATCGAGTCCTGCCCAAAAGTTATCACTGCGGATTCGAATACATGAAATTCACAAGATTAGTTTTAGTTTATTGTAATTAAAAGATGAAAGAGTTGTTCTTTTGGAATAGAGATATTACCTAGGTTGAGTACTTAAGTAGTATTCTTGAATTCTGTCCCTGTCCTCCTTTGGAATTTTCTGCCAAACCCTCT